TTAAATAGTACAGCTACTCCATTTGTGCGAAGTTCAATGCATCTAAAAATATCACAGACAAACATGGCAAGCTAGCAATCAGAACAACAAATCTTTGACCTTCATTTCAACTGTATGAAAGGAGATCTCTAAAATATGGTGACAAGAAAGCACCGTATAACATGCAGTCTCATCAACCTTACTATTTTACTTTAATGTCCAAGGTGCACATCTCTGATCTCTGCTGCTGCCACAGGAGTTCAAAGATGTATCTGAAACACAATGGGGAAAACTCCAAATCTTTTGTACCTTCTCTGTAAACCTCTAAAAGTGAGTAAACATAGACCTTTTTTTTTTTTTTTTCTTTGGTAGCAAATGGAGGTAAGATTTCTCAGAGGCAACCTTCCAGTCTGTTTAAAACCAGACTCCCAGCTGGCCTTTGTGTGACCACCAGAGGGCAGGACAGACGTAGCGGAACATTAAAGCTTTCCTAGGCAACAGAGTACAGACCACGTTGTTAACAAAAGTGGCACTTCTATTTCCTGAAAAGGTAATTTAATACTCAGTGCTCTCTTTGTCAAAGCGCTATATAGGAAAAGATTTTAAATCGGTGGAAGGAGTCCAATCCTGTTTTCTCACCTGAAAATTATTTCAGATAGCTAGAGACAAGACATCAGCTTACCAACCTTCTTATTTTAAAGTGAAATTACAGTTTTTAAGCAGTGAAGACAAAGATCTGATGTTTTCACCAACATTTCAAGTGATTAAAGTAAGAGTTACCTTTTAACAATAGGGTTTAGACATTGAACAGTGACTGTAGCAACAGAAGCATTAAATAAAAGAAATAAAAGTAATTTATTAAACCACAAATGGAAACTATCCGTGTTTAGAATACCAAAGTGCAACATTAAAAACCCCACCACCCAAACCCATGCATAATACAAAATTATGCGTTAATGCAAACTCAAATTACACATCATACTCACGTTAGAAATGAACCAGTACAGTACAGAAGTGAAAATACTGTCTGGCAGTATCCTTATTCTTTCTTTCCTGAGACTTTAACAAAATTAGTGACCATATTATAGGCTAACCTTCCCGTCCTCAGCAGATTTCTTCATCCACCTTTTAAACTAATAAGCACTGAATACTAAAACTTTAAAGAACTGCCTCTCATTCTGCTTGCCCCAAAATGCGTTTCCTATTAGCTCTACTATTTGTAACTGGAGTCAACCATTGCAGTTTAGTAATTGCTATGTGATCAAAAGCACGAGCTTGTATTTTTTAGCATTCCAATTCAAATCTGTATGCTAAAATTTCTCTTTGAACAAAAAGCCAAAGACATGTGTGATATGAAATGAGGTAATCAGGCAGTAACTAGAAGAATTTAAGCCCTTTTAAGGCAGCTACAGAATCAAAGTGTCTGATGAGGGAACAAACCCATTACAAAAATCTATTTTAAGAGCTTGGAAAGTGAACTATACCCCATGGGGGGACAGATGACTCAGAAGGCAACAAAAGAAATTTACCTTGGAAAAATTAAGACTTCTTTCACACTCTTCTAAAGCCAGCATTTTTCTTAGTGTCCTTTTTTAAAACAGAATAAAATATAATAGGGGTAATTTACCAAAAAGCTCAAACAGCCACTACCCTTAACAACCAGAATAATTCTCAAAGAACCCTATCATTACTGAAAAACAGAACATGAAATCCCCAGTTGTAGCAAACACTCCCTTCCCCTCACTGTCCTGTTATTCGGGAATTCAGCTCTAAAAATAAATTTGGTGCTAGCTTTGGAGCAAATGTTGTATGTGGGAGAAATTAACTCTTTAAGATCCAGCAGAACAATCTCTTTTCAAGGCTGAAGAACATGATTAACAATGCATAAAGAATTATCAATTTAAATGTGACGCTCCAAAAACCTTAGCATTCTTGGTATACCAGGTGTTGGCCTGTAAGAAAGCAAAGGCGATAGGGATTACAAAGACCCGAACTGCCATTATACTCAAATATCAGAAGGTAGTATAAGCATTGGAAAGAATAGCTATGTATTTTCAAATTAATATTCCACATGTGGAAACTATCTTGAGTGGAATAGGTTGGTTTTTTTTTTTTTTGGTTTCTTGTTGGAGTTAAGAATTAGGTATTAAAAGATCACCTGTTCACCTTCCACAGATATATGGCTTGACAAGTCTAATACTTGCACAGTGGTGATAATTACTGTATTTGCATGCATACAATTCATTGTGCTTTGATTCTGTATAAACAACCACAGTTTTATTTTCCAAAAGTCAGGCATATAATAACTGTATATTTTTATACATTTCTTTTGCAAGATATGTAACATTATGAAACAGCCAGTTTCCAAGAGTTAGTTAAGAGAAGTGCACATCTAATTTCTGGTATTAGCTTCCCTTTTTCCTGCTACTAAAGTGAAAAAGTGTAGAACTGGCTCTCATGGTGAGACCCAGTTTACCTCAGTTCATGGCCAGGGCTATAAAGACCTCAGTGATCCCTTCTGAAAACCTCTTCACCCTGTTAAGTATTTTTTCAGAAACACTGCTTAGCACTTGCAGAGTCTCATGATGATTTTGGGGGATTATCCCCTCTTGAAACATTATGTTTATCTTTCAGGCCCATGTTAATGAAAAGGGATCCTTGGAATTTTAAAAAGCCCAAGACTTCCAATTCTAATTAATAGGTGTTTTCTCTTGAAACTACAAAGGCTGATTGGCCACCACCCTACTCCACCTTTACCAACAATAGCTTTATCTGGAAGCTAGGATTGGGACTAGAGTCCACTTTCTATTATAGTTTGCCTGTACTTTTTACAAAAAGCTTCCATTGTCATGATAGCAAAAGCACAGGTCTAGAGGTAACAACGAGAAAGGGCTAAACTGTTAATGAGTATTTGAACAGATAACGGGAAGCACTGACATCCTGCCATGCTTACAGCACACTTACATGACCCGTGGGTAGAGAAAGCAGACAATGACACGCAGTGCAAGTTTTGTGTGAAGTTGTATTGACTATGATAATATTTTATTTTTAAGAAACCTCATCATAAACTGAAAGTGCAGGCGAAACAGGTACCACAGGAGGACACAACATGAAGCCACTCGTGCTCTGACAGCATGGTTGGCCTACTGCAGTTCTCCTCTCACAAAGTTGGGGGCAAAGGACACTTTCCCCACCTCTCCTCCAAAGAGGGAGCATTTGGTTATTATTTAGCATTTTGGTTCACCTCAGAAGCTGTTATATACTTGTTTAGAGTAACAGTCCTTCTTCAAGTCCTGATGCAGGAAACAGCATCAGCAGGGTGCTTCGAATGCAGCATTTTGGTGTAGACATGCTACAAAAAAAAGGCAAGACTGTAAAATTATATTTTCAAGTTGTTTTTATTGTTATTAGAGGGCTTTTGAAAAGCAGATGTTTAAAGTAAGAGCAGAGATTGGTTTAACCTTCAGTCCACAGAGCTTTAGACCTGCGCTTTGATACAGAGAAATGACCACTTTCCTTGCAAATTACTTACTTATAACAATGTATGATGATTTCTGAACGTTGTCTAAGAATCCTTCTTGTCCAGACTTGTTTGGTGGATTCAGAATAGTTTACCAGATAGTTTGAGAATTGGCTATGATAGGAAAGTAGCAGGTAGCCCGGGGGTATGAATTAAAAGGACAACTCACCGATAGCAGAATCAAAGGCCTGAATGGGCACCTACTCAAAGCCCTGAATGGGGGCACTCAGGCAAACTTGAACAAAAGGATTCAGAGATGCTGTCTAGGGAGGATACTCTTGCCGATTTAGCAAGAAGACACCTGGACTTTACTTCACAGCGCATGCCCTGGAATGAGCGGACACCGTGAAGACCACGTACTTCTCCCCTTGAATAATGACAATAATCACACCTATTCCCCGAACTAATTGTAATAACCTGGCCCTTCCTAATGAATATGTATGCTTTGGTGTAATAAATATTTGGCTACTTGCTAGATATGGTATGCAAGCTTTGTGGAGAAGTCCCCTTGCACCCCAGCCGGAATAAACATGCCTGCTTTAAAAGTCTCTCCGAGTTGTAGTTTTTTTCTGCGCGTCAACTTGACCCAATGTGGCTGCCAAGATGGGAGCCCTAATGCTCCCCCCCCCGCCCCCAGCCGCAAAGCCCTGCAGAAAGAAAATGAAACCCAAGTCATCCGGTGAGAGAAAGGGGAACCGGCGCTTTCCTAAACAGCGCCTCAGGTGCCACCCGGGGCTGCGGTTTCGGTATGCAAAGCCACCGCAGCGACAACCGCCCCTCGGCGCTTCCTCGAGCACGGCTGCTGGCCGGTCGGCTCCCAGGGAGGTGGAGGAACCGCTGCAGCGTGCGACAGAGAACAGACATTTATAGATTGATTTTTTTTTTAAGGGTTCTTTTCGAGCATTAACGGTCCTCCTCCAGACCCTGTCTCGCAGCCCCTCAGCGGGAAACAGGCGGAAGGGTGGGCCCCGGCGGCCCCTTCCCTCAGTGGGGCTGCAGCCCCAAGGGCTCCCGGCTGGGCCGCGAGGTGGGCAGAGCCCTATCGTCAGCTCCACAGGCTTCCCCCCGGAGGGCGCCTTTCTGCCCTTTCAGTGCTTGGTTGGCGGGAGGCGGCAGACACGGGGACCGGCCCCGCGGGAGGTGTTTGCCGCCACCCCAACGACCCCTTCCCGCGCCGGGACGCCGGGCCAGGGACCAGTAAGTGCCCGTCGCGTCCCCTTTAAATGCTTCCCCGCCCCCTCCCACGTGGTGCAGGACGTGGGCGGGGATTCCGCGGTGCGTCAGTTCCGTTTCGCTCGTGCCGTGGAGGAGCCGAGTGCGGAGCAGGACGTGAGTGTTGGGGTCCCCCCTGGCGCCCTGTCGTGGCCGCCGCCATTTTCTCTGGTCCCTCGACCCTCTCGCCGACTGCGGGGGCTTCGCCGCCTCCTGGTCGGCGCAGGGGAGGGGGGCGCGCTGCGCGGCCGTGTGGCGGGGTTTTCCCCCGTGCCTCGACTGCCCGGTGTGCCCCGCGGGAGGGATGCCCCGCTGCGGAGCGGGCCTGGGGCGGGAGGAGGAGCTGCTGTCGAGGTGAAGCTGCCATGTTGGGGGGGCAAAGAGGATTTGTGTGAGGGAGAAAATGGCGGCGGGGAACCGCCCGGCACTGTTCCCCCCACGCTGGGATCTGACCCTGCCCGCTGAGGACCCCCCACCGGGTTTTTTTGTGCTGCCTTTTCTCTCCGCCGCTGCCGGTGACCTGTAGCCCGCCTGCTGCCACCCTGCCCTGGGAGGACCTGGTGTCCTTGCCCACCCCCCCAATTCGGACTTTCGTTCCTTTCTTTTGGGGGGCGGCACTAGCCGTGGAAAAGGAAAATAGGGGAGGAAAATGGCGGCTGGTTCCTAGCTCCGCCTGGGTTGTCCTTCTCTGTATTTACCTCGTCCTCGCTTGGCCCCCCTCACTCCGCCCTCGCTCTCACCCGTGCTGCGGTGTCTCCTAACGCTCTGCCTGCCAGTCTCTCCCGAGGGCACCCACCCCTCCCCGTTCCTTTTTCCTCCAGTTTCCGCTTCCACCTTCCTCCATATTGTCACTCCCTCATACTGATGCGGACCCCAAGGTTGTCCCCTGCTGACGCCCACGCCCTCTGCCTATCAGTCTTGTCTTGTTCACCTCCCTTATTTCCATGTCATCGCTGTGCTTATTTTTACATTGTCCCATTCCAGCTCTCTTCTGCCTCCGTCCTGCAGCGTGACTTACGTGTGCTTCCCCATGCCCTGTTTCGATTTCAGCACTACAGCTTCTGTCGTGCTCCAAGTTATCACGGCAAGAACTTGCCCTACTTTAGAACCACGTTGATCTATTGGCATTGTTCAGACTTTGTTTTTTCTTTTGCAGATTTTTTTTCACTGCCATATTAAACCACTGCTACTTTTTTTTTTTTTTTTTTTTTTAATCTTTTCTTAGCCTTTCTTAACTGTAGTTTACAGTATATAGTTTCTCTCTTGGATGCTTATTTTTGTTCTGAAAGAAAAGGTGAGCTATTTACTTGTTAGAGAGAGTTTCTAATAGTAGGCAAGATTTGCAACTGCTATATCTAACCACATGTTTGAATACTAGAGTTGTAGAAGCACACCTGGCAGCATGCATTCAAGGAAAGTTGAATATCCACTTGTCTGGTGAATGAATAGGCTCGAGTGACTGATATGTTGAAGCTGCAGTGGAAATATTAATTGCAGTACTGTGGTTCACTGTAACTGGGGTGTTTTTCAGACTTTTGTATTATTGGTGGGAACTTTAGCTTCATGTATGACAATTATGCAGCATGTTGCTTGCAAATCCAACTGGGTGAAATACTCATGTGAGAGTATAGTAGGGCTTTGGTAGTTTATATTTTTGAATGTAAAATAAAGAATTCCACTGGAGAACAGTATAGTATTTTTTACATTATGGTTTCTGCCATATCTGGAGTATATAAACTGGTGAAAAATTGTCCCTTTGTAAGCAGTTCAAGAACTAAACTACTGCATTTAATGCAGTTGCAGCAAAAAAGGGAAGAGATAGAAGAGGGAAGAGTGATATCTCATCTACAGTGTGTATTAAAGCTTATATGAAAAGGCAGGAAGATGTTTAGGAGTGTTTTAAGTTGAGCCTTTACAAATATGTTTGAAGATGCCTTTCCAGCCTTAACGAGATGTATTTCTTGTATAGTGTTCTCATGTTATTCTCTTCCTAGAATGCCGAAATCAAAGGAACTTGTGTCTTCAAGCTCATCTGCCAGTGATTCAGATAGTGAAGTTGACAAAAAGGTGAACATTATATGCCGTTTATTACTACTGTATTAACCTTGTATTTCAGGCTGGGGTCAAGGAATTAGGTGAGCATTACATCACAACATGCATGTCATTCCATACAATTTATCACTTAATCCAAAATTCACCTCTCCCCATATTACAACAACAAAAAAAACCCACTCCCAAGATTAGAGTTTGGATAGGAAGTTTTTTGCCTTGCAGTAAACTTTTTTCTTAAGTTGCATTTTGCTCTCTGGGATTTTCCATATGATGTATCTAACCACAATCTTCCTGGAATTCTTTGCTCCTTTTTGGCAAGTGGTAGGCTTCTATATAAGCTGCTCCTGGTGTCAAGAATTTGGATTAATTTTGAGGATACACACTCCCTCTCCACCCCCATTTTACTATCTGGATTACTTGTCTAAAATAAAAAACTTACACTTGCCTTCTCTTCCTTGTGCCACTGGCTTACCTTGCTTGCATGTTCTTTTTATCTGATTCTTACCTTTACTGTAATACCATCTGCTGGTTTCTCGCTTAAAAGCTAAGCCAACCTGCATGGCTCTGAGTTGATTAATTTTAACATGTTGCCTGTTTTAAATGTATAAATTGAGTGTTGTAATTTATTTTTAACAGGTTTTTTTTAAACTTACAAGTTTGTATAGATGTACCACACATTGCAAACAAAGTCAGGAAAAAAAGTGCATTTACCTTTTTGAGAGATGCTAGGAGGTAATGCAGACATCAGGTCTTTTTATGTGGTATGTGAACAGTCTCGGTCTGCTTTATTGAATTAGTTCAAATGTGACTTGGTTGCACTTTGCAAATCAGGTGTTCTGTCAGATTTTTCATGTAAGAGAAAATGGTAAGGTGAGGGGGTTTTTTGAGAGGTAAGTGTATTCCTGAAAAAGTAGTCTAACAGTCTCTTTAACGGGTGTAAGGTTGTTGGGTTTTCTTCTGTTATAACCTCCCATATTTGTTGGAACTGTTTGTCTTTAAAATATGTTCTCCACAGTATGATTCTATTGGGTGAGATTAATTTTTGATGTCTTTGTATTACTCTTTGGGGGGGGCAGGCATTGTTACTAAATAACCATTAGTAGAAATAGTAACTTCGTAGCATCTTCAAGTAATCCGATTTACAGATTATATTGTCTGAGTGTTTTAAAAACATGTTTAATTTATCATGCTATGGACAGACTTGGCACTGATTTAGAAAAAATTAGTCCGATTGAGGTGATTTCCAGATAATTCATTATCTCATCTATTTTATTTTTTTTTTAGAAGAGTTGTAAGATGTCCTGCATTTTTTGTTGCACTCAGTGGAAAGGAAGGTGAAACTTCCATCATACTTTAAATTTTTTATAAAACTAATGAACTGATAGTATTACTCTACAGAAAGAGCAGGATTTTTGAAATCTATTTTGATCTAGTTCAGTTCTCTTTAAAGCCAGAGTGTTACGGCAAACCTCACTGGCAAGAATAATTAGGCTTGTTTAAGATTTTTTTTTTTTTTTAATTCCAATCTAAATGTACACTATTGGATTCCTGCCTTCACCTTCCCTCACAGCAGGAAGCTGATAATGTGCATTGCATAGTAGTAGTTTGTGACCTCTAACATAAACTGTTCTGTAACTTACAAGAGTAATTTTATGCTTTCTTTTTTTATTCTTGTTCCAAGGCAAAGCGGAAAAAGCAAGCAGCTCCAGAAAAGCCTGTAAAGAAACAAAAGACTGGTGAAAGTTCAAAAGGTGCAGCTTCTTCTAAGCAAAGCAGTAACAGAGACGAGAATATGTTTCAGGTAAAATTGATGACTCTTAGAGCCTGGTTAAGGTAACATGTTACATCATATTCACTATGAATGTTATGAGGTGATCCGAGTATCTTGACAGCATAGTGCTTGGTCTCCTGAAGCCTTGGCCAGAGGGGATTGTGATACTAGCATGTGTATGAAATGCTCAGAAGAAATTTGTCAGGTTTCAGCAGAGTAAAAGAATCTGAGTTGTAGCAATTGATCTAACCCTTATGTCTTTGCCCATGATAACTCTGGATAGTAATTTTGTTGGTATGTACAGCACTTACTGTGGGTATACTGTAAATATAAGATCAGGACTGTCTCTACATGAAAATGGTTTTTAATCAGGGCTCCAGAAAGAAAGAAGCCAAAGTATGCACTTTTCATTTCTGTTTAACGAGGTCAAGGGCAACTTGACTCCTGTGTTATAAATAAGACAGTGTCTTGGAAAAAATTTTGCTGGTAGCTTTGTTTTATGATGCAGGTTTTTCTCACTGAACATCCAGAAAGGTTGTAATTTTTGGCTTTGTCCTTTGTTTTTGAGGTGGGATGAATGTACATTTTTCAGTAGCAAGATGCATTTGTGAATTCAGGGTATTGCAGTGAATTCCTGGGGTTAGCAGAGGCAGTAGCAGTGTGTGCAGAAAGCTGTGCAAGAAATACGTAGCTCAGAATTACCTGTTTTAAGGGTGTGAATCAAGACTTACTAAATGTCTCTGACTAGCTGGCTGGAATTTAAATTCTAAGACTTTGATTATTAAGTTTGAAAGTGTATGGGAGAGGTGCCTGATAAGATGGTCCCAACACTGAATAAGGCAAAAGAAATTGTTTTGGGCTGTAGCTGTGCAAAGTAATATAGTAAAAAAGGAAGGCTTTTCTAGAGAGAAGACTGGCTTAACTGATAGTGTAATACAGGGCAGTTATTTTTAATGTATCAGTTTTCACTTTCCTCCTTACTTACAGTTGGGATGGAGAGCTTCAGTTGAAGGCAATGCCTGACTTCCCCATTGAAGAAAGAATATAGTATTTTTATTTCTGATGGGGCATGCTTTGAACCATATAGGAAGAATGAGATAGTGTCTTCTAGACCTTAACCAGTGAATTGCAGTTTGAACTCAAAAAAAGCTATGTGTAAACTTTATGCTACGTTTGTAATAAGTTCCAAGCAATTTTAGTGCTCTCCTGATGCAAAAAAATCCAAACCCTTTCAAACAAAAGTGAAAGTATTTATGTGCTCTCATTTTTATCAACCGTTTTGACCTAAGATAATAAAAGATTACTAAAACCAGACAGTAGAGGACTTCTTCTAGTCTGATAAGAGAAGCATTCTTCCAGTGTTGAGTATAATACAGAAAAAATACTTGAACATCACCTTGACCTAAACCATCAGTGTTACTTAGTCTCTGCCTGCCTTTAACACAATAAATGATCTAAAAAAATTTGTTGTTTATGTGAAGCATTGTGAGTTTTTTCATGCTGCATCGGCTTATGTGCATTAACTAAGTTTGAACTGTTTTAGTGTAGAAATAGCACTGTAGGGCTGAGGATATTCTACCTCCAACCCCCAGGAGAGGATGCTAGAAGATCTAGTTGCGTGTTAATTTTTTAGGTATGCTTTTGTTTGTCCTGAGACTATTAGTAATACTAGAAACTCCATTTCTGCTTTCCATGGCAGTAAAATGATCTCTGATGTGCAAGTGACTTTGCAGTGTAACTTACAAGTACGGCATCAATTGATGGAAATCAACCTGTAAAGCATTGAAAGGATGGTCGTAAGTTCTGTGGTGTCCATATTGTGTGTGGGAGTGACAGCAAATGGTGTGAAACCAGTCTGTATTCTCAAAGTATACAGCTTTCCTTAATACAGTGCTCATTGTGACTGCTGTATTCAGAAGATTCAGTGTTTTCATAAAAGATCTACATCTTTTTATTTTTGTTTGAGACTAGTGTTGGTGTAACCCTGTATATAAGTAGCAGGGAATTAATTCAGTATAAAAAACCCAAGTGTATTTATTTAAATTTCTTGGCCTTTTAAAGTTTTATAGGTAGCCTAGTATACTTTGTAATTGGTTATAGAATTTGCGTGCAGCTGGGCTGCAGAATTTTATTTTCCTCCCGTTTGTGATGTATTACTAGAAGCCCTAAGGACAATCACTACTCCTATTAATGTGGAAGGGTTTAGTGTTGGTTGGATTCCTCAAGCCAGTGTGAGCTCTGCATCATGTGCTTTGGTTAGCTTGACAGATCCTGTCATCTACCTATGCGTGATTTGATTATGGTTTGTTAATGATGTCAGGATGTAGTATTAATGACTACTCAGAGTCGAAACACATTGCATAATCAAGCATTTCACTGAAATTGTTACTTTAAACATTGTCCATCTGTGTGTGGTCCTGCTTGCCTCCCTGGGATATTATTTGTTTTTTGATTATTTGGGGAGAAATAAGTTCTTCAGTTTCCCAGTGTAAAATGTCTTTCTCATAGGCTCCTGAAAGCAGATAAATACATAAGTTTATGATACTCTGGAAAGGTTGTTGTGTTCAATGTGAGGAACTAATTTTCTATTAGATTAATCCCCTTGCATTCTATCAAGTTCTCAAAGATTAGAGCGGCTAGGGGTGGCTGGACCTATCTCTTAATAGGTGAGCCATTTACTGCTGGAGAGGGCTGTCCTGAACAACTGACTCCGATATTTGATGTTTGAGATACGCTTGGGCTAAATTAAGGTGACATAACTCCAAATGATTGATTTTAACAGTAGAAGCTGTATTTTTACAGGAACCAACTCAACCTTTGTGAAGGTAACTAAATTCTGTTATAGCTCTGTAAATGGTTTTCACCACTGGATAGTAAACCCTGTTACTTTGAAAAAGGACTGAATGCCTTGTAACATGTGAAAAAGGGAGAGGGAGAAGGATAGAAAAACAGAGGTAGAGGAGAGATCTGGATCACCACCCTGAGTTCCATCAAGGTCCCAGGTCCAGTTTGTGGTCGTGGTGGTGGTGGGTGTACGCTGAGGTACGGCGCTCTGTTTCAGAAATATGTTGGCTCACTTGCATATAAAGCAGGATGGGGTGGATCCTTTTGTGCTCATTTACATGTGAGGTGAGGAGAAGGGTGGGCTTTCCTGGGCTCATTCACATGCAAGAGGAGGGAGGGAGGGTGGGGTTCAGGTGCCAGTCCCAGCCTCTAGTCTCACTTTATGTGCTGATTACTTGGTCTGTGAAGTCAGGCCCCTTACATGGCTCAGGAACACCAGTTTATGTAACTCAGTCTGTTGTGTGGGTGCCACTGGGGTGGGTTGTGAAGCCCTTTCCTCAGATATTTTGTGAGTTGTTTTTGCCCAGCAACATGGAACCACACAACCTCCCTGCGCCAGGTGTGAGCTGCCTGCCTGCTGCCCATGCCTCCCTGCCCTCTCCTCCACCGGTGGCTCATGGCACTATGCAGCCACAGTGTTTGAGGCATAAACTCTCTCCGTCTCTCTCTCGAACGTGATTGGTTAAGCCTATTCATTCTGAAACTTAGGTGGTCACCAATGCATTTCACAGTCAATTTGCTGTTTTGTCTCACTGTTAACAGGACTCTTTATTGTGTTCCCTTTAATGCTATCCATATAGTTAAGAAAGAAGGATGTTTTTTTTGCTGTTTGTATTTCCATTGTTTGTACAGTTTAATGAAGGCAAACTAGAAATTAGAGTGAAGAAGGTGGTTGGTGAAACTTATACAGGAAGTCAGTTGCATATCTGTGAAAGGAACTAAGACACAGTTCAGTGAGTTTTATTCTAAGAAATGGAAACCTGGAAATAATGCTTTTAATGTCTTCGCATTTATGTAATTCAATAGAATAGTATAAGGAGGTATAATACTTAGTAAAAAGCATATGAACTTGTCTTTAAAAGTTGAACTCTAGTAACTATGCTGCTATAAATCATTACAACCCTTGGATCGCTGCTGTGGTTATAGATACAAGGATGTTTTGGATCGGTGAAATTATTATAGGACTATCAGCTGCTGTGTGAAAAGAATGGTTCAGAAATGAATCTGTGCCACAGCTGCATGTAACTGAACATCAGGATACATCAATTTACTTAAATAGTTAAATCTAGATTTTGGTTGAGGTTTTTAACCTTAGATGTTAATTGAAAGCTGTACTTTAGAAGAGCCTATTTAAAGCCTTTAGCAGTGGCAGCTTTTCATAGAGTTCAACTGAACATTCAAAATTCAATGTGAACATTCAGCTGAAATCTAGACAGTGATGTAAAGCCTAATTTAATATTGAAATTTTCATATGGAACTGCTTCTATTTAAACTAGACTTACTGACTAAATGTGAACTTTACATTATTGCCCCTTGCCTTACTGTAGTCAAGTTAAGACATACAGTCTTATCCTTAAAATCCTAAAGCAAATCTTGAGTTACCTGACAATGCACTAATACTCTTTGATAGCCCTGGAAAATAAAGTTTGGCAGAGTACTACTTCTTGAAGCTGCTCCCAGATGTGGCCTTTGCCAGCAGTGCTGATGGACCTGGGCATAGTCCCAAGTTCAGTCTGAAAGAACTAAGCTATGGTGACATCATACCTTACTTTTGAATGCTAAGTTTGTAGTATGGTGAAAGTATTTAATAAATCAATCAAAAAAAAAACGTATTGTATAAACTGTAATGTCTTACTCATTTCAAAAGATGCTTTGAAGTAGGAAAACTGCTTCAGGCTTGTGGTATGTAGAGGTATCCTGATTGCTTTACAAATCAGTTTTAGGGTTAATTTAGCATGATCTATAGAAGAAGAAAAAATGCTTTAAGCAAAGATAAAAGTTTATTTTTTGTATCTGTTTTGTGAAATAACAGCTTATGACTCAAACGTTTATCTGTGGATGATTTTAGTTTATGGAGAGTTTTTTAACCTTTCTGGTTAGACAATGCTAGTAAGTTGTGTTTGGGTCTTCATTAAGTTGTATCTAAAGGCAAGATGTGTAAACTAAATGTTTTATCAGGAACAAAT